CCCTCTAATCCCAAACTGCTTCCGGCGCGCCTGGACGTAATTATGGAAGATCCAAGACACGATGTTCAGAAACGGGATGAGAACGTCATTATTTTGGTTCATTTATTGTGTAACATTTGCGTTATTATTGGGTTGAACGCGGGTTACGGTAACATATTTCCTCTTCGACGTAAATTTCACGTGAATGAAGAACATGATTCATCTCAAGTCAGCCTCGTAATATTCACGTGAATTTCACGCAGATATTTTGACTAAAACTATCACTAATGCTTCACGTGTTTCTGTGACGCGATAATTTCGTTTATGAAGATGTAATTTCATAACCAAACAAACACGGGAGTATTAGGTTTAAAAACCATGGTCTCCAAGGTAGGGATAATCACGTTATTATAATGGTGATATTGCAGTGACAATTGCGTGATTTAGTGTACGTGTGTTTCAAGTTACCTAGTGCAATAAACGTATTAACACATTTACGTAAATGTCCGGTGTTTGTAGAACGTAACTCTCCTCAAGTCGATACCTTGATATTGACGTGATTTTCACGTGATTTTGTTTATTGGGTAGTATCCTTTGGAAAGACAATATTCTACATTTGTCGCTCTCCGCCCAGGTGTTAAATGGGTACCAGTAGGAAGGAATCTCTTGAATGCTGTGAGCACCGAAATAGGTAGTCTAGCTGAGCTGGGTCGATATGTACACTATCACTATCCAATAGTATCATCATCATCAGGGCATAATGATAGAAAGAGTACCTTTTGCAGGAGTGGTCCTGTCTAAATGGTGTCTCTTGCTTCCATGTGACTGTTCAGACTCCCCCCTTGGGTTGGGGTTGTAAGGCGCCCATTCTCTTCAATGCTTTCTATCTCAGAACTCCGAGATGACATACTTGGCATTGACTCAGGGGTTGTAACACTGCTGATACTGTTAGAAGAAACACAAATTAACATTGTAAAAAGTTTGCCAACTATGAACACAGAGGTAGAAAAAGTAAAAGGTTGGAGATCTGTAGATGATTTTTCTATAAATATCAACATTGTCCACTCTTTCTATATAAATATATAAAGAAAAGTAACACTGCCTGGTAAAATTAGGGCAAGAGTTACATTGTGTAAGACTGCCTTTAATTGTGCATCGGCTGTATTGCATTACTAGTTCCCATAAATGTAACAGATGGGATATATCTTTAACATGCAAGAAACAACAAACTGTTTTAACTTACTATCAACAAGTTTTTTATGAATAAAATATGTGTGTACCTAAGCATAGCCCTTTCTAGCATTACAGTTTCATTGATATTGCTCCTTATTTTTCTCTTCCAGATCTCAGAACATATTTTCTTACATTTCCTGAAACCAACCCCTATAATCAGGAAACAAACTCATACCTTGATCTCCTTTCAAGATGTGCAATGTTTCTGTTTTGGTTGGGTTCTTCCTCCGCTTTGTTGTTGTTGGCATGCCAACCTAGCTTTCTTCTTGTTGGTTCATGGCCCAAGTCTGGAGCACTCGCTGAAGGGCGTGCTCCCTCCTTTGGTTCACTGTAGATTCATACAATGGTGAAAATACAATGTGAATATGTAATGGAATCTGAAATGTTGTCATAAGCTCGTATTAATATCTTGATCACAAATCTATATAGCTATCATGACATAATGTTCACGCTCACTATCATACTGGTTTACCAGCAAGGGAAAGTAAATCAGACATTTAAGCATCATGATAAGAAGTAGATCTATGCTCGTTGTGTGAATTGCAATCAGAAATACTTTTTTAAATTCATCTTTTCAAGCCCGCAGGTCTTCAAAATTTGTTTGAAATATGAACATAACAAATATTTACATTGCAAAATATCCCACATTCACACCAAAAATATTGTGCAGTTTTTAAACGAAAATCATAAAAAAAAATAATATCATTGCTACACTTCTAGCATAGTTTTTCATCATATCTGTTTCTTTAGTAGCAGAGCTCTGGGAGCACTCACTCTTTTTTCTCTGATCCTGTTGTTTGAGTGGAGATAGAGCTTGATGTACTAAGTTGATCACTGGATTCCTCCCATAACTTGGCCTGAGTAGCCAGTACCTAGATGCTGCCTGGTAAAATTAGTGCCTCGGGACCGCTTCTGGTACTCTTTCGCCCTCTCACGTAATTCTAAGACCTGAAAGAACAGCGTTAATTATTTTTTTTAATTCTTATCCAAGTTTAATTTTTCTAATTAAAGATAAATCTGTAAATGCTTAAATTTGCCCTCTCACCTCCTAACATTACTTCCAAATTTACACAAATTTGAAGTGATATACAAACCATACAAATGAGAAATAACATTTGTCCACTTTGGAAGGTAACACAATAATGTTCCCTTTAATTGATATGACCAACAAAGGCAACAATGTAACAGTATTTGTGGAGTCTGAGAAATTTTGGATCGGCAGTTGGATGCTTACATATTAGGATATCTTCAGTACTGGGATGAAAGGAAAAATCCGAATTGTGACAAACAAATTATTGTTTTAAGGTAAACAATGCTTAAAACATCCACCCAATACACCCCTTCCTTAATCACTGATAGAGCATGGGCACACTACAGTGTCACATAAACAGTGTATCTCAAATTAAATAGACTTAAATAGCCTGTATACATAGACAACTTTTCTGGAGCAGTCATCAAAAAATTTGACTTGACATGAAGTTCTTTGTAAACAATGTACTTGAAATCACTGAACATTTTTGGAGCTCCTACAGCATATGGGCCAGAAGCAGTTGCTCCGTGGTCAATTAATTCCTAACTTCAAATCAGACCAAACATTCTACCTCACCCTTAACCCTAACCCTAAAACCCACTTGCAACATTGACCCTATACCTCAAATAAAACCCTAGATGAAACATCTGAAGAGCAAATGTCATGTCACCTATGACTATGTATACCAGAGTGACTTACTTCTGAGAACCAGTTGGGTAAGTCTCCTACAGACTTTGACCTGGTGAGGTGCTCTGGTTTGACCCCTCTATCTGATGAATCACCTCTAGGTTGGACATGAGGAGGATCTGCACCTTTCCATACTCCATTCTCATAACTAAACACCTGAGGGGTTTTGAAGTTGGACTTGTACTCTGACCTCCATTTTCTGAAACGTGAATTTGTATGTGAGATAAAAAAAAAATAACCATTCAACTCTAGAAAGTATAGTCTTTCCCCAAAAGTACAGAATTAATCCTTTCGGCAAACAAACCCTCTTCTCTGGAGAATCTGTTGGATGCTATAGAGTGGTGAAGTGTGACGTCATCAAAATTCTGTTTTTTGGAATTTCTCAATTTTTTCTTCATTTTCCCAAAGAGCATACAAAATAATGTCCAAAGGTCGAAAACCAATTGAGTATGTTAAGTATGGGCTGAGATATGATCAACTGAATAAATACATTTCCTATATATAGGAACTCAGTGTTATATTGCTCTGGTTCATAACATTACGAGCCAGAGCATTCAGAGGGTCATATCTCAGCCAATGCTTAACATATTCAATTGGTTTTTAACCTTTTGACATTATTTTTTATGCTCTTTCAGAAAATTAAGAAAAAATAAGAAATTCCCAAAATAGATTTTTATGATGTCACAGCTTCGGTACTCTATTATGTTACCAACCTTCATGTGCATCCTCCCTCTGAAGTAAACCTGGATGTATACTTTTTATGTTTCTAGAACATATCAAATGACAACATCTTTCAATAAATTTAGTTCACCTGTTCATAATGGTGTGTACCCAGACATTAAAAAAGATTATTTTCAGGTTATTTAACTTTGTCTTGCTTTCATGTAAGGTTCTATAGTTGATATCAGGTGAAATGCTGGTCAATTATGCATACTCTACCATTGTAATTTCTTGATTTTGTCCTACTCATAACTTGATTTATACAAGTAATGAAAATGGAATTACATTAGAATACATTGTATTTTGCTGTACAGTACTGTGGAAAGACACTTGACAGCTTTATAGAAATAGCATAATCATTTTCTAAGTTCATTTTTATCTGCACTGCCTTTGTTTAAAAAGAGACATAACCAAAAAAAGGAACTCATCCAGATAATATGATGTAAGAGGGAAAGCATGTACTGACCTTACTGTTGCATGTGGAAAGAAAGGTCTCTGTGGATTTTGAGATGATTTGACGAGTCTTGGATCATCATGTGAGATTACAGATAGCACTCCAGCTGGTTGTTGTTTATCAGGGGTCAGCTTTTTACCTCGTTTGCTCTGAGAGATGGAGAAAATTGGCAGAATTATATTTACAATTGCATAAATATATAAGACACATAGACAACAAGCCAGATATGGAATTGTCTCTCCTCAATAATATTCATTTGAAATGGTAAGGATAGTATCTACCATAATAAATTTCATACTTTCATATTAAGTGAGAAAGAAAGATAGAGGAAAATTCTTGAAATGTTTCTGAGAAAGGAATTTTATTATTGAAAATAAATCTGTCCTTAGAAAATGTGAACTAATGTATAGATATATGAGAAGAAGTTAACTGAGTCATACTAGATGAAGACAAACAAAATTTAAATATAAAATCAAGAGTTAAAAGGATAAGTTTAGCAAGTAACCATCACAAAATTTGGGAGAATCTGGAAGAGAATGATATCATTTTTTTCCAGTTTTGTATGAATAGATAAGTGTGAATAATTATCATACACTACTTTGTATTGTTTTATAGTTCTTATGAGAATTTGTTTTATGCTGTAAGTGTAAAGCTTGTGACATTTGGTGGCACTGCGTTACAGTTTTGATTTTGATTTTCTCAAAGTTTACTTGAATGAATTGATTATTTGACAAATCACTGAATTGCTTTCTGTTCTCCCACTGATGAATCATACCTTTGTTTTTACTCTGTACTTTGCTTTGATCTCTTGCTGTGCATTCTGCATGAGCTGATCTTGTACCAAAGGGCCATTATGGTTCTGCTGCTTGAACTGCCTTTGGTATTCTGTGTGCCGGGGTATCTTATAAGGTACATACGGAGCCAGGTTTGCATTAGAGGTATGTACCATCTAAAGAAATAGAACATATTGGATATCAAATATTCATTATGAAAAATTCATTATGAAAAGATGACATAACATAATATGCACATACCATGTCAACACAAAGTCTACATCTAAATGCATTTTATGAATGCTGAATAACTAATTGGTAAATGAATATTTTTTCAATGACATGTAGCAACTATAGGTTATTTACAAGGATTTGAATTGAGATAGTGGAATAATCATTATTAAATTAAAGTTTTGTCACACATACAGTGTACTTGTATGATACACTGTGGCAGCCAGGATTTTGGTCCATGGCAAATAGCGAGTTAATGATGAATGTCTACTATTAACAATAATGCCATTCCTTCACACATAACATTTTCAAAGTGTTATGCCGGCATTCCAATGGACAAAACTTTCTTATAATCTTTATTCTCTCCACTTGCATGTTCATCTAAGTATTCAGTGAGGATGAATAGAATAGCATAGAGATGTACATGTAATCACCTGAATATTGTACCCCAATGTATGTAGAGGAGAGTATTTTTTAAAACAGGCATTCTAATGGTTTGAAACAAGTATTCCCTGGCGAAGCCATCATATATCAATATTATAATTGTTTAAAATGTTTAACTCTCACCTGTTCTGCAGCCATCAAAGGTGATTCTTTTCATGGTTGCTTCCAGGCAAACTGTCGCTGGTATTCTGATGAATACCTGGGACCACCAGGCCTTGCTTTAATACCAGCACGGTACTGTAAGGCTTCATCAGTCTAAAATCAATCAAACAACATTACAACAGTTCAAAAAGGTTGTATCAGTCAGAATTGTGTGTGTGTGCGTGTGTGTGTGCGTATATGTGTGAATATAATGCATCTTTCCAGTCAATTCACATGAAATTTTAAGGCTCAAACTTACATGGTTCTATTGTTTAAAATATTTACAGACTACCTTACTTTTAAACCTACCATGCATTTAAAGTGCTTCTGGTTAGAGAGAGAGAGAGAGAGAGAGAGAGAGAGAGAGAGAGAGAATGAAAGAAAAATTGAAAGAAAAATTAAAAAAATATAACAAATGTAATAGTTAAATCTGAGCTAAACATTTTCATAATCAGTAACATGCTTACCTCCTGTTCAGCTTTGCCCTTTGTTTTTGATGCATCGCCTCCTGCTTTGAGAACATGTTTGCCCGTCTTAGTGATTGCTGGACCCTTAGCTACCCTGATCGGAGAGGGAGGGGCCACTTTCTTGGGAGGAGGAGGTGGCTGGCTAGGTTTGGATATGACTCTGGTTTGTGCTGCACGGGCTTTGTTCTTCTCCGTCTTTAAAGTCTTGTCGATAGGTGGCCTGAAGAAGTATACATTTGACAGCAATTAAGTACTGCAAGAATGATTTAACGTTGATAATATATGGATATCATGCAGATTGGTGCTACTTTTAAGTTCTGATGCATCATCGTTTTTTTTTAAATAAATCTCTACCTCCCCCTTTCTTTCTCTCCCTCAACTCTTTTCTTATCTCCTTCTTTTTGACCTGTGTTAATTTTAAAAAGAGAAAGAGGTGGATTGCAGAGGTTATTCTAAATATTCCTGGCTTACAAAACCACCATAGATTTATGGTTGGGAAAGGGAACGAGAAAGCTGGAAACCACATATTCTGAAATTAACTTATAACTGATTTTTTTTTCTTCTAGTCAAACCGACCAATCTGTGAAAAAAATAGGGAATCCCCCTAAATTAGAAATCACAGTACGTTGATGTTAAAGGATCTCTTTGAAGAAAGAAACCGAAACCGCATAGTTGTATACGATGAATATTCCATCAAAGACTGTGTGAAACAATAAGTGTGCCCCCCCCCCCCCAAAGGGTAGCCGCAATGATCGCTAGGTATCTACTCTTATTTGATAGGCTATTTTATTATCATGGAAGATAATAAGTGATTTAGGTCAAATGTTTTTGTTGTTGTAGTTTTCACTAAGTAGTGTTTCAGCCTATCGCTGCTACTTCCTCCTTCCCCGGAAAAGATTCTGATTTATATTTTGCATTTCCGAAACATGATAAAATATGCATGAATTTTGCAACGTTTCGAGTTATCCACAACATTTTTAATATTTAGATAAAAGTCTCTCCTTTTGCCCGTGACTTTTCGAGGGCTTTTGTTATGCTGAAGGCTTAAAGAAAAGACCAAAGCAATATACAACAAGTCGGACAATTTAATTATTTTGAATGTTTGTGATACTCATGCCAGAAGATATACTTTTAACCTTACCCCAATGCCGTCCTCTATTATAGATCTACCTCTCACAATATGTCTTCATTTTGTATCCATCCAAATTTTTTTCTTCCTACTTTCAGTGGCTCGTCAAGTTCACGCAAAGCAAGTGTCCATTATTTGTAAGGAGTGGAGCTTGTAGTGGGTATAGTTCAGGGGTTCAGGGATAGAGGGCCTGGGTTGCGATGGGGTTAATGTTAGGTTGGGTTTAACATTGGGCTTTGGTATCGTGTTGGAACTAGGTTTGAAAATATCACACTACACGGATTGACACATTAATCTCATAATGTAAAAGTGAGAAAATGTTGGTAAGGTATCATAAATCTTCTTTAACTAAAAAAACCCCTCTTGATGTATATGCGTGTATTACACAATAAATTTACAGATTTTATTCATAGTTGTGTGGTTTGATTTTCACTCAGCAATAAAAATCCCAATTTACATTTACCCCCAAACATACAATTATATTTATTTAACAAAAAATATTGCATGGGTATTCTGGCAAGCCAGGAAGGAAATATTTCCTCATATAAGACTTATATAAGTACACATGACATCCTAAACAACTATATCAACAGACAAAGTAGAAAGAGGGGAAAAACATGACAGAATATAATCAATATATCATGTCATAGTAGCAGCACAAAATGAAACATTTATGAGCTAACATTTCAATTATATAGTATTGAAAGCTGAATGGAATAGTATCTTGGAACACTACCAACGTGGAAGAGATGTCTGCACCAGATGGCGCTCTTCCCACAATTTTGACAGATAGGAATCTCTCCATTTGCAATGAACCATCCATTTCCTTGTGTGTTAACACATCCATGCCTATATTGCTAATATTACATCATGATATGGACCTTGTTTGATGAAGATTCTAAATCATTGAGCCCCTCACCCTCTTAAACACACCCACACATGCTTATACTCACTTTTTTTTTAAAGATATTTGTTTTAATTCATTCCAAAACAATACAAATCATTCTTAGAAATACAGTTGTTTTTCATCTATACATAGATAAATATATTGAATACATAGATTGTACGATTGATAAACAAAAATGAAATCAGTTGTAACATAAAACAAATAACCCAATCCGACCAAACACACTACTACTACCCCCCCCCCCCCCGTGCGACACACGACACGACACACACAAACACACACAACCCCGACCCCACTACCATACACATACCACAAACTGTTCCTAGCCCCCTCATAATACCCAAAATTGGAGCGACAGAATAATAGAAATAATCTATATCAAAAAATGAAGAAATAATTATTAAAACGAGGCTACAATAACGCACACTCATCCACCCAGTCACACACGCACGCACCCATACACACTCACTAACACACCACATGCCCCCCCCCCACTCACACACACACTTCTATCCCCCACATCCTCATATCGCCAAACCAAAATTCATCATACACCTTAAAGGCAGGTTTAGATATGAAGCATTAAACCATAGCAGTTTCGTTATAGTGAAAATAAAATAAGGTCATGTGCATATTTACTAAAGCTCTGTGTTATAAGATACAGTATTGCCAAGCAAATTACACTTCCATCATTATAAAAAATAAACCATCAAGGTTTACAGCATCATATCTGAACGAGGCATAACCCAGTTTAAAACACACTTTAAGAGGACCTCATTAGCACCGTACGTCTATATGGATTTTAAAATGTCATACACTTTTGTAGTACTAGAATAGTGGTCAACACAAATGCAGCCTTAGTCAATAAGCTATATCAAGATTGTACATGACATAAACAACAACAAATATATATCCACTTTGTAAAGTGTGTTCACAATTCTCATTTCTTTTTTAATTAGTGAATCCTCTAAATAATTCATTAAATGTCCTTATCACCAAAATGCTTTTCAAACCCATCCTGTTTGAATGTCCAACTTTGAAATATATATTCACTTTGTAGAGTATGTTCACAATTCACCTTTCTTTTTAGTGAATGCTCTAAATGATTCGTTAAATGTCCTTATCACCAAAATATATTTCAAACCCATCCTGTTTGAATGTCCAACTTTGAAATATATATTCACTTTGTAGAGTATGTTCACAATTCACCTTTCTTTTTAGTGAATGCTCTGATTGATTCATTAAATGTCCTTATCACCAAAATACTTTTCAAACCCATCCTGCTTGGATGTCCAACTGGAAGTGACTGCCATTTTGGTAAACTCATGTCCTAAATTAGAGGAAATATATTATGTATCTAATTTTTACCTAGAGGTACAATATGACTACGTAAGCCCTTGTGGGTGACAACGTAATTCCATATTTAGATACATATATGAATTATGAACATATATCTACTTAAAGGCACACAGCCCCTTAATGTAATCTGTTCAGAGCCAGAAAGGTATTAACATTGTATCAAAGTATATAACATAAATATTTTCTTCTGCCTGGAACACAGATGTCATGAGAAACAACTTAAATGAAAGTCAAAAAGGGCTAGAACACAATCTGGATTAAATAGATATCATATTGAAATATTCTGAATATATTTCAAAGGAAGTGCAGGTATAATCTATATCAACACACCCTTACTTTCTAAAAAAAATATGGCTCATGTTATTTCATTTTGAAAAACATTATATAAAATGTTGGCAAGGGAATTAAATTGCCCAACTATAACACATGACAGGGTGGTGCTCTTTCCTAACATCCAAACGTATTGACTACTTCAACTTCACTTGTTCTCTATTTGCTTCTAAAAAAGCTAAATATTACATTCATTAAAAAAAAAATCAATATTTACAATCTCACTAAAAACATCTTAAACAAACAGGTTGTAATGTATACTAGATATGTCAGAGGAAATAGTTTATAGGATTCTAGGACACATAATGCTCTTTGGCTTGACATATTCAACATTGGCAAACGTTCTTTGAAATTAAGATCCTCCATGACTGTGCGATCCTTATCATGGTTGGCAGCCAACTTAAAGGTTACAAATAACCCTAACATGCTTTGCTTTGTATGCGAGAGTTCCATGTCCTATACTTTAATCAAGATATAGACCTCCAAATATTACCTCTAAAAAAGATATAGTGTGAGTTGAAGTTAGCATAGAAAAGCACCCACACAGAACATAAGTTGAACTATAATTCGTAAGCGGGTTATGTTATTCTTCCTTTTTTCAAACTCCTTATCTGTGAACCCATAGAATGCCAGCTGATTAATTTTAGTTTGATGTTATACATTAAAGCTGTACACAAATAAATTGTATATATTTTTATCGATACTCTTAAGGTCTTTATATCACTACTGTTGACCACTTTATTATGAAAAAAATACAATTTGTAGATAACGTGCACTACTAATGCACTCCTCTCCATTATGTGATGATAGAATGAGAGTGAAAATAACCAGGAAAGATGTTTATCTTCTGATGGAACCCAATTTCGGGCAGTACCTTATAAATGGTTTGTTTTATTGAAAATCATCTCGCAGCCCGAAGGCTGAATTGTGTGACTTTTTACAAATTGATAAAAAAAATTACATTACAATAAATACATGTGAAATCAGACATTACAAGCTATAAATTCAAAATTCGTTCAAGTTCATGGTAAAAATATAAAATATAAAGATATATATAAATGTGAACATACAATAATATTTCCTCTCCGATATTCATTGATTTTAAACGGGTCGTGTTTGTTTGTAACCAGACAGGCTTATACAATAGTTGCATTGTATCTTTGATTCATTCACAAATGTATAGAATTTGTAAGGAGCATGACATATCTTAAATCTTTACTCTAATATGTTCTATTCCTCATTAATAATGAAAAACAATAGAGAATATGCATTGAGATTATACTATACTTCATCCCCCAAAGAAGTTAAAGCTAAAGAGAACAGTGTTCTACCATCCTCCATTGTGCCATCTGAGTATAGTGACTCTAAACCAGAGTCAGGTGATGACGGTTGGTCACATTTAGAGGATGTTTGGACGTCCACGGGAGAATGGATATCCACAACCTTACTGATGCTATCCATTTCTTTGTAAGGCATAGAATCGGCATAAAACTGACTCTCCTGCATATTCAGTCTTCCATTGATCATGTTGTCATGGTGAATAGTTGCTGGTACCATGGAGGGACTGGTAAATCTGCAGGTGGGGTCGTCTGAGTAGATGGTAGTTCCATTCGACAGAGGGAAGTGATTGATGTACCGGGTGCCATTCAGAGAATCACAGTCATCTGCAAGAAAATATTATGACACCAAAGTAGTCTTTTGAAGGAAATCATTGAAAATTATCAATGAAGCCGATATCAATAAATGTTGTGGATGTTCTGCAACACAAATCATGACATTGCAGATTCAGTTCAACAACAACGTTAACAAAAATCTTAATTGAAAGAAGCACACACTCAATAACAAAGTAATTGTAATAAACTGTAAACACGTTTGCTCCAAAAATAATATGTTTTTAATTTCTTCAGCTTCAGTCTAAAAATTATATATCTTGGTTCTTATACTTTTACTTATAACATAAGTATAATAGCAACATGTTATAATGAACTTTTATGGAACCAAGGAGACTAAATTATTATAGTGAAACCTTGTTATAGCAAGGCTAAAAAAATATATATATCATCATCAAGAATTGGGACTTGTCATTGGGACATACTATTATTATTTTTTTGTTATAATATAGTATTAATGACTGCTTTGAGAGAAATAGTTGTTTTATTACGCTCAAGGGAAGGTTAGAATTGTGCTATTCCCCGAGGCTTGCCGAGGGGAATAGCCCAATTGTAACCTTCCCGAGAGCGTAATAAAACAACTATTTCTCGAATATTAAAGCAGTCATTAATACTTTTATATGCCGAAAAAAAATAGACTAAAAAATACAAAATAAAAAATAATTTACATTTTTGTCGAAGACGGGATTCAAACTCTTGCGTATAACAAGAGGTGTATCGAAAACCAACGCTTAGACCACTCGGCTATCGCGCGCCGTTAACATGCTTGGCAGTTTTCTCCAATATATACATTAAAATGGATTGAAAACGGCTCCGCGTGAGGGATGCTTCGCAAAAGCTCCATGAAACGGACCCTTCTTTTACTTTTGCAATGCATATTGGCACGAACTTAGATCAAGATCTATCGGCAGATGTTGTTTTTTTTGTTTTTGAGAGTTAATTTTCGTCTTCATGTCAACAATGCAAGATAAAATTGTCGGTAAGATCGATCGTGATTCAATTGTATTGAAATTGCCGACCAATTTTTCGCACACGTATGGTATCCTCCATCGCTCAAACCATTTTTTAACATGTAAACCTATGGGGTAACCATGGAGACTGACCTATTTTTTTAATAACCATGGTTATTAAAAATATTGAAATGTTTTATGCATGGTTACCGGGAATTTTACAGGAACAGCTGAAGTTTATGAATGCAATTCGACCAATCAGATGGCTGGATTTCTTAAGTTAGGTATATAATTATTATTATTATCAACATTATTTTCTATATCATTATTATTATCATTATCATTGTTACTATATATATTATTGTCATAAGTACTATGATTAATATTAGTATTATCATTGTCATTGTTATCATCGTTATTATTATCATAACATTATTTGTATACCATGATTCCCCTGTGTCATGAAAGCAACAGGTCTTACTATATGGAATGTTCTTAAGATGAGGCATGGATGACTGTGTCGGGTCACCTCCATCCCTCGTCTCCTTGGGGGGACCAGGCGAGTGCGCGCGGCTCCTCATGTAGGAACGGAAGATAAAAAACAAGATCAGGACCATCAGCAATAGGCCTAGGACTCCACCCAGAGCTCCAGAGAGTGTTGCCAATGGAAGACTGTCTTCCGGTTTGACTGAGGTACGTAGATGTGAAGAGGGTGTAGGCGTGGCTGTAGGGGACGTGGTTGGGTCAGAGGGGGTCGTCGATGATGGAGGATGGGTCGTAGATGAGGCAGGAGTAGGCATAGCTGCAAAAAAAAGATGAATACCCGGTAATCATACAACGAAATTATCCCATTGTGTGCAGGAACCAGGAGGATTTTGTATAAAACCCTATAATTATATGGAAATGAAATTTCAAATAGTGAAGATCTTCAATAATCTTCTTCTTCTACCTTTAGCCTCGGTCACAAATGCCATTACGAACGGCTACGAACGCCGTACGAACGATTTTCAGACAATGGAAATTCGGGAACACAATGGAAAAACAGGGAGATTCGTACGAAATTATCGTTCGTACGAACCTTTGTGACCGTAGCATTACTTCAAAGGGCTATGTAGCCTATCACATAGATGAACTAAAGATTGCAAGCGGTGTGAGGGAGACATATGAGCTTTAAATGGAATAAAGGAATAACATGCCTCAGGAGTAATCCCTGGAAGTTTTTTGTACTGTCAGCGTGCACTTCATTTGCTGCCAGGCTGTTCCTTTTATTTTAAGTAGCATAAGAGAGGAGGATGTGCTATCTCGATTGAACGTAGCATGAATGGGGATTTGAAGATAAATAGAATTTAGAACTCACCTTTAACAGCGATGTCATTATCGGAGTCAATCCATAAAGGGATACATCCATCACACTGTGTTTCACTAATCCATACCTGAGGTGCAATTTATTTAAAAGAAGAATTCATAAAAGTGGTTAAGTTGTTTTGAATATTAATAAACCATGAATATAAGTATATGAATAAAAACAATATATTGCAACAGTTACTTTTAAAGTCTGATCACAATTGTGCAATGCATACCTGAGGTGCAATTTATTTAAAAGAAGAATTCATAAAAGTGGTTAAGTTGTTTTGAATATTAATAAACCATGAATATAAGTATATGGATAAAAACAATATATTGCAACAGTTACTTTTAAAGTCTGATCACAATCGTGCAATCTTCGGTTATCAAGAACTGATGATGATCTTTAAGATATTTCTTAAAGGGCAAATAGAGAAAAGAGAAAGATATTTATAAAGTTAGGAATATCATGGACATATAACAAGAAATTTAAAAATTAAAAAATAAATTGTAAGTCAAGACTAGTAAATTAACGCTTCTGAAATGATAAACATATTTTCATGTAATTGGAGGGTAACAATTTGATAAAAAGCATGTTTAAAATTACACACACTATTAGATCACTTGATCATGATTGTTTTACAATGTTACTTTCAAAACTTACATGTGCTCTATAAGTTCCCTCTTGCACGTTGTTGAAGAGCACAATAGGAGCTTCATTTTCCTGAATGAAATAATTACAGAAAGGTTATGAAAAACCTACATTGTATCATGAAGACAAAATAATGAATCTAATATAAATTGGAGATATACCATATTTCTTTTAAAGTGCATAAGAAGATATCAGGAATGAGAGAGAAAAAGAAACAAAACAAACAAGAACATGCAACAATTTCACTACTACTACTTTTACTTCTACTACTACCTTTACAAGCTACTACTACTACTACTACTTCTACTATTCATACTAACACTACTACTTCTACTACTACTACTACTACTACTACTACTACTACTTCTTCTACTGTTTACCACTGTCTACTATTAAGGCCTAACAAAAAAATTACATTGCTCTTTATAGGTGCCAGAACCTGTGTCGGTCGGTGGGATATCTTTTTTTTTAAATACTTCCCCCCCCCCCTCAAAACATCCACCGTCGCCCCACACCCCCCCCCCCCCCAAAAAAAACAAAAAAACCCGGGAACATTGCCCAAATCTCGCTGGTTTCTAGCTGGTACAGTGCATGGTATAGACTAGTACGAGGCTATGTCTACTTGTTTCCCGCTAGCAGGATTTGAGTGAGAATTTGGGAATAATTTGAAGATGTTATGCATTTATATCCCATTTAAACAAATAAAATACATATTTTTAAATTCTTTGATTTTTATTAAAAAGCCGACCGTAGATTTTAAGATTTTTTGGTCGGTCGCAAAGGGCAATTCAACATCAGTTTTTGTAACGCCAAATACTGATGCCATTGACTAAAAATATAAAGTATTAAGAAGTTTATTGAATGAATCCACGGTGGAGGCCTGTCAGGTGTTCCAGACTTTAGGGGCAAGAAAAGTTAAAAAGAAGTTACGCAAACTTCAGTTATATTCTTAAAAATGAGCTAGCAGCTCATTAACTCACCAAATTCAGCATGGGATTGAACCTGTAGGTCACCTGATAGTGCTCGTAGTTGCCTTCTTGTTTCTGAAGCAAGACTTCATAGACTGTATATTTATCGCTAGGCCAAAAAGTCACCTGCACGGAACCATTGGCAATTTGAGTAAGGGTTGGCCGAGAATATGGTCTCCAATTGTCAGGTGATTCTACATAGCAAACAAATTCATTTTCAACATGACACAAGTGATCTAATATCCTACAGCAGAATCATAGGTGAGGTTTACAAAGTTACACTGTGTAAGTCCTTTATAGGAATATGAGCCATGAATAGGGATGGGTTTTGCTTATAATGTAGAGCCCTTGGTATTCAACATTTCAACTATTCTCCTGAAGACGATCAGAGAATACATTGAGAACCAAGAGCTCTTAGCAACACACATCAGCTAGCTTATTCACGGCTTTTATTCCTTTGAAAGAATTACATTGTGTAACCCTGAAAACTTGAGCTACAATTCACTTTCTCCATCATATATAGTATTTACATTTCACTTATAAAACATAACCCAGAGCAGGACAGTGTCGCCTTTAAGTGATTTGTTTGCATTATCTTTTGATCCAAAAATGCTAATTATTGCACATAATCTATGTATTTTTAGCACGAGCAAAAATCACAGGAAATATGGGATTCATCTTTGTTGCAGTACATTGTACTATTTACAAATATATGTAATTGAAAATTAAATAGAAAAATTGGCAACATTGGTGGAAATCGTAACCATTGTTTCCATCTACAATTGGCATTTTTATTGTCTTTTGTAATATCTATTTGCATAGGTTCAATCAACACACATTTCCATTTGCTCCTACAGAATGAAGAGTGAACTGGAAATTGTTGCCAATTTGAAGGGGCAAAGGTGATCCATTTGGACGTGTTGGGAAATCCTGAACCTTTCTGGATTTGCTCCTTCATGCATATGAAACGTATTGTCTAAAGATTAGAAAGAATAGCTGACATAAAACATACAAATTGGTCAAAAGTGACACATGTATATCAAAGTAACTTACCAATGTTGCATACAGTTAAATTTGATTCCTGTCCACAACCTGCACAAAATATAATAAATCAGAAGGTAAATATGTACAACAGAAAAGTAGCTTCATTGTCCCTTCGTATAACATTTGAGTTTGCTCATCATGTTGATGAATACGAAAATAATGAAAACTATACCAAAAACAATAACATATGCCAGGCAGTGTAACATAGATTCTTGTTCACATGAGCTTTATTGTATTCGATTTACATGTACACTGTATCTCTGATTAAATATATATTCCCTCTTTTAATAAGAGCTCTTTACAAGTTTTCTACAGTTCTGTAAAAGCTTTATCAAAATAGATTTGGTCACTACTTCCATTCTATATTTTTACTGGCACTTACTTGGGAGTTTTGTAAGAAATCTTCCTTCATTTGAATTATCATCATTGTTTGGTAGGCTGCGGATAATGGTGATGTAATCCATGTCAGGCTGTGCAAAATCCCCATACTGGCATGTCACTGAGAAATTGGACTGAAAATAAACAAGAAAAACTTGCATAGTTAAGGTCACAAAAAGATAATTTACTCTAAATGCTGGTATATAGTCCAAATTATGTGCACGTGGCTTTACATTATCTGTAATTCTCCATACTTCTGTAAATGTTAAGCTATATAGAATACTGAGTAACTGAATTTAACTCAATTTTCATTTATTTCTCCTTTTGTTGTGGAGGGGATGGATGATTTTAAACATACATGTATACAAGGAGCATACAATTTACATATTAGGTGACTGATGGTACCCTTTAAACCTAACTAAATTGTAGATTAATACTTGGGTAGTCTCATATCATCCATGTGTTACGTTATTGCAGGACTAGAGCACATCAAAAGCAATCCAAGTATGTGGAAGCTTATATAAACATATTCATATTATATTGACTGGGCTTTGAGGGGTACATCAGAAATATTGACCAAGCTAAGATCATATTGACGAGGGCAATATAGTCTTAGCGCGGTCGGTAGTTCTGATGTACCCCGAAAAAAGCCCTGTCAATATAATTATTATTACCTATACAAGGCATTTTTAAAACAAAAAAAATCTTAAATTTCAATTTTCTTTTTGTTTGAAAATTTCCATTTGTAAGATTTCCAAAATGTTAAGAGTCTCGCTTTCAATTTCCATTAGATAATACAATCATATGGATTGTTTTTCAAATATATTTTCTTAAATTTGATAACCTCTATCTAGTAAAACAATACATGCATAGTCTAATGGCTATTAAATCACTTTTTTTAATAGCGTAAAAAAGTAAATGCGACCTACCTGAGCATCACTAACCGTCAATGTTCTGTTGAATAATATTGTGACACAGAAGTATTGCGTTGCACAAATACTTTGGTGACACATGACTTTAACTTCATATCCAGTCAAATAGTTGATGCGATCTGGACAAAATAATAACAGCCATGAGTTTTCTGATTAAGATACATCCATTATATTCAAACAACATTGGTACATTCCATTGGTATGGTTTAAGGGTTGATTAGTATTATCATCATAATTATGTTATACCGTATTTCATGGGGGGAAAAAGCTTTAGTTTCCAAACTACATATTATAAAGAGGGATCGACCCTTCTCTCTGCCATGTCTATTTTTAATGGATTTTTTTTGTTTACATTATTCAAATAACATTCAAATGGGCTGAAATGTTGTATAGCTGTATACATGCATACTAGAATACGTCACTAACATAGGCTTTTATTTAGTTGGGTAGAGGGGACAAAATATCCTAAAATTTCTTGACGAGGAAAATCAAAAATTCCATCACCTCAAATTTGGACTTGGGTATTAAAACTAAGCCTCTTATGTTTCAAAGGGGGGGGGGGGGTAAGTGCTGGTTATGTCTCTTAAATCTGCAAGTGGACAGTGCATTGTATCATTTACCTGTCGAAGCCTTCCAGCGAGGGGCCAGATCAAGATAAATCTTCCCATCTGTTGCTATGTAGGAGGAGGAGTAGGAGTCTAAACCAACCTGGAGGGGAGGGCCAGGTGCCTGATTGACAGGTACAGTGCCATCGGTTTCACAACTTCCTAATCAAAGTAACAAAATATATAAAATATTTCATCAATTAACAGAGCTGTAGCTACAGGGAGGCGAATGCCCCAATCAAATAACGGAGAAAAATATGAGGAAATTGAGAAAGGAAATTGACAAGATAGAATAAGCCTGGATCTCCTCTACCACAAATCATTAGCCCCATACTTAATGTTCCCCAATAAGATCAGTGTCCCCCCCCCCCCCTCAATGGTTGGACTCACTATATGCCACCATTAATTCTCATTCTCTTATCCAAAAGAAAAGAAGAAAAACAAAGCAAGACTAAAACAAAACAAAAATAAATGTTCATTTGATAATATGTATATGTCTGAGATGGATTTAAATAATAATAATAATTAAAACGCTGCTTTTAAAGAGCTTACCACCGAAGTCTCTTAGCGATATAACAAATAAAATACAATGATAAACAATTACATATTTAACAAAAATATTTAAAAAATTGCAAATAAACCTACAAATTACAATACATATGATATATACATCAATGTGAACAGAGTAAGTTAATCATTGAATGTGCCTTAAGACAAGTTTTGAATCAACAGTCCCAACGCTTTTGACTTATAAAGGTAGTTTGTTCTCATATTGTGTTTTCTTTGGATGATTGACATCATTTATTTTCATATGTTTTCTTTTTTTGCCACTTGACCCCTAAGCTTGCAATAACATTTTATTCCTCGTCCTTTATCTCATTTTTGCAGGTAAGAGATTGGGTTGCTATCAGGATAAAAGAAGCTAATAACCTGATGTATTACCTCTCCTCAATAGGATATGGATCCCAGGTATTTCCCCACCTTGATATTTTGGGATCAAAACAAAGTACGAATGCATCGAAGGCCTCAAAGCATTCTTCAAATAATGTTTCATTAAAATGCAGCTTTTGCTATTTCCACAAGCCTGAGAAATTGTAAGTGAGTGCAAAAACTAAACACTATAATTTCTGAAAGTAAAAGTGTCCATGATGTAAAATACTAAGATTATATTAAAAACAAGGATAGCCTATTCAAATTATAGACTTTGCATAGAAAGGTTAGTGTGGAAGAATACAATAAATGTGATAAGGAATATAAAGAAAGAAAGCGGAAGAAAAAGAAACAAAGAGAGAGAGAAAAAAGGGAGAGAGAGAGAGAGAGAGAGAGACAAAGAGAGAGAGAGAGAGAGAGAGAGAGCTGGTAGAGCAATTGGTGACAGGGGCAAAGCATACAATCTGTACGAAGAGATAAGATAAATAATTTTAGACACGCACCATAACTTCTAAACTCTAAATACACAACACAAATGGATCCTTTCTGCGACCCTTTTCCCGAAGGATCTGTTGACAAACTCTGTCAAATGTTTGCTATTACTTCTAAACATGAGTTTTTAAAAAAATCATTAAGCCAACAATTTAACAGGTAACTTTATATTAAGCACTGTACAGACTTTACACAATGGGAGCATTTTAATCAAGTACTTTGCTGATCCAAGATTTTGGCATGCCAGCAACTTTTTTGCTCTTGCCAATGGCAAATATGGCACCTTAAAAAGATTCATCCCCAAGTTTTTGAGTTTTCATTGAAGTTTTCATTTTTTTCAATTTATTGTGAGTTCTTCCTCTTTCTTCTCTAGTTACGTTTTGTTTAAAATTGATAAGATATCATGTATATATTCTTCTGAAATTAATATATAGAATTGTAGATGGACTTACTTGTAGTACTTAAAACGCATGGTGGTAAAGATATACCTGGAGCTCCAGTTGCATCCTGTAAGAGGGAAAATAGAATGATTAAATTACAAATCAGGAAACTTATTCTTCATTCAGGTATACTCAGGTATACAGGTATACATCTTCTGTAGAAAACTAAAATCGTACTTAGATATAATCATCTGATGAGACTCGGAAGGTCATGAGTTCATATCATTTGAGGGGTTAATTACGCCCCTCTAAACTCTCAAGAGATTTGGGTCACTTTCATACTGAATGTTTCCTAAATTTCTTCTTCAAGTGCCTTCCCAAGGCTTGATGTTGGTAGCTAATCGATTGAAGCCACCTCGATCTGTAGCAACACCCCTCCCCCTACACAAAATATCAAGTAAGCTTTTACCAGGTACCAGGTATAGAGCAACCTCCATGAACCTCAAGCCATCCATCAATGGCTGATCTTAGCTTTACAACATGATCAATCGCAAAGCCTTCATGAAGAAATCAACCTAAAGCAACTTGAAAAGCTTTATAAATCACCTATCGAAATCTGTCAAAATTACAATGACATACATTTTTATGAAAAATCTTTGACAATTTGAAGAAGAAAAAAAGAAAGAAAAAAAACCATCAGAAAAAAGTAGGGTGTCCAGGAAGGGGGGAGTATATGCATTGGACCTCTATTAGTGTTAAGCCCTGTTTCAAGGCCAAGTACTAAGCCCAAATATCAGTATAACTTTTCTTTAAATACATATAACGTCAATCATGGCTAGATCTAGGGGGAAGGGGTCGTGTTTGTGCCAGATAGCTTTTGGGGGGTAAATGAACACCCAATAATTTTTATGAGCACTTTTCTTTGCTTGCTGGTCAGTCTTCTGGGTTATTGGACCCCCCCCCCCACCTCAAAATTTCAGATCTGCCCCTGCTGATAGTAAGTAAACATGTTGTAAAAATCTCTTGATGGTTATCCAGGAGCTCCTTGGTGTCATTTCGCTGACTACCCGTATATAACAAGACGTCTTTTACTGCCATTTACAATAACTTGCATATACAGCCTTGTTGCGGACAACCGTTGATTTGTTTTAAGTTGAGCATAGACCTAGTAGGTCCATGGGTTGAGCTAATCAAGCCTATATATGCTGATTGTACACAAATTGTACACAAACCGTTTTCGCAATACAATAAAAGACTTCATAAGTTTCATGAAGTACAGCAGTACAGGGTTATCACCCTGGTTATCACCCTGGTTATCACCCTGGTTATCACCCTGGTTATCAACAGATTGCCAAGTCTAGAGAGGAAAACCAATGTTAGATAAGCCTTGATAATAACAAAAAGTATGCTTGTTTGGAATTGTATGACGTTTCCTAGCTTCCTTCCTCATATTCTTCATAATTTGGTTGGAAGGGTCTGATTTAAACAATTTTTTTCAAAGGGCACTTCCTCATTTGGATAAATGACATTTTCTGACATTTTCTGGCATTTGCTGCAAATATTAAACTTTATAACTGTCTGCTTCACTGCTAGATGTTCCTGCCTTGAACAAACTTACTCACTGTTAGTATATATTGCACCACTTTACCTGTCAATGTAAAACACAATATTTTGTTGTGGTTACGACCTTTAAAAGATTTACATGTCGATTGAAATGTAGTAGATTACTAGAAGCAAGTCTCTAGATTTTATTGTTTATCCACAAAAGCTCTTTGTAAGTTCAGAGCTTCAGTGCTCACTAATATAGACCTATACATAAATTTATCAAAGGCGTTCATAATTTATATCATGAGACGATTCAGACAACTCAGCTTTGCTTACTAGTATGTTTTGTGTGTAATATAACTTCACTGAACTTTGACCGTTGATATTATTATATTGAAACCTGATGATATGATTCCCTACGTGATACACATTGTTCTATGGTTTGAACTTCACGCCCCACTTGATTCTATCCCCTTAACTTCTGAAGTTGAAATATCATCCAGCACTTTGCCTTGCGCCTAGGCAAAAAAGAGGTTTTCCCCTTTCAAGATACTGTTTTCAAGTGAGCCTGTGTAAAGATTAATCAAGCTGCGATAATCCCTATCCTTTTCAATACCAAGAGCAAATTGTGATGGGGATCTGGAGTCTGGACCCCATTTTCTTTTGCTAGTCATAGTTTATATTGTTATTATTTTATATTGTATTTGACCTCCATTATGGAGGGTGTCAATTGCAGTCAACATCCTTGCCCCCCCCCCTTTAAAAAAAATTAAAATCCTCGAACTGCTAGTAAACACTGAGGAGAAAGATGGCAAGGGATAGTCTATACTGAATCAATCACATCGTCATTAAGATGAGACAAGAACCCTTGCACTTGGATTCCCTCAGAACAAGAATAGAGAGTTCAAAATGAAACCGAAATACGAAAATAGATCTCTGTGTCATGAATGTTGAAGATTTCTCTGTAAATTGACCCTGCAACATTCTGACCTTTGACATCCTGACCCCCCAATCTTCTGAGTTCATCTGCATGCCTGTGGGATACGTGCTGCAGTATCAAGATTAACAATCTTTAGATGGTTTGTGAACTAATGTAACAACATAATGGGATAGACCGCTCATAAACTATGGACCCTATATACATATACATATACCCAACTAACAATCGGACGTTTTCTGAACGTTCTAAAAAGGTTCCAAATTGGTTTCCTAAACGTTTTGTGAAAACGTTCTAAAGACATCTATTTGTGGTAGGTTTTGGACGTCTTTTGGAACGTTCCAACTGGACGTTTTTTGAACGTTTTCTAAACGTTTTTAGAACCAATAAAAAACCTTTTATAGATTTGCTTTTAAGTGCAAGGACCTGCAGAAAACCTGTCGGACGTTTGGGACGTTTTTAAAACGTTTTAAGAACCTTAAAAACGTCCGGAAAACCTTTTAGGAACGTCTAGAACGTTTCCAGGACGTTTAAAGAACGTCTAGAACGTCCAAGAGAACCTTTTAAGAACGTGTAGAATGTACTGGAAACGTTTTGAAAACGTTCAGAAAACCTTTTACGAACGTCTAGAACGTCCTGGAAACGTTTGGAGAACGTTCAGAAAACCTTTTAAGAACGTCTAGAATGTCCTGGAAACGTTTTAAGAACGTTCAGAAAAACTTTTGAGAACGTCCAATATACAGTGAATTTTTAATAAACGCTAGGTCACACATGTATTTGATTGATTTTATGAATTTATTATCAAACATATTTACAAAATATGTACAAAGGCTTGGCACTACAGTACATCATGTATATTTCAAAAAGAGTATTGGTATTTCCCGAAGTGCCCCCGAAAGAACATACAATTCTAATATTCAGAATAAATTGTTATTTGATCAATATCGATTCACAAACGGCTGAAATATCCATAAATATATTTTTATTCAAAATATTAAAAATGCTTGAAGACTACTTTGAAGAAAACAAATCTGAATAGTTCTTTAAAAAGCAATTGATATAGACATTATTTAATTATTATTTTAACAAACATTAAATGCAGAAACTGAAAGTAACGGGTCATTTTGAATAATAACAGGTGTTTTACTTGGCCGTTTGTAATTATTACTTTGCACCGTGATGGTGCAGGTTTTGGTTTTAAAGTTAAGTTTGACCAATACTAAACTATCCCTTTAAAACTATAGATACATAACACATGAACAATCTACAAATAAAACATAAGAATATGATAGATGAGTTGAAGATATGCCTCATTAACTGGCAAATATGAATACTCATATAATTCACGGGTCTATGTCTCTATGAATATACAAGGCAAGATAAAATGAATACTTTGAATAGTGTCAATAATTTGGCAGCACACATATAGCAACTTTGGTAACACACTTTATACAAGCAATTTGAGTTATTTACAGAACCTGGCAATTCATGCCAAAAAGATGCCCCAGCAAATGATTAAGAAATCTTTCTATAATAAGTCTTGATCTTTGGTAAAACCAAATAGTGGATTGAATTTTTTGAGTACTATATCAAATTCAATGTGAATAACCGATTTAGCTATGTGCCTCCACCCAGGATTAGCTTCATCATCCGGTGCAAATTATAACTATTCAAAAGAGTACATGTATTTACTTTCTCATCAACTTCTACAAGTGATAAAAATGTGACTATTTTAAGAAGTCACATTTCAAGTGAAAGTACGGCAAAAAAAAAACAAGGAAACTACACTCGTTTCAGCTCTACAAATTGGCAACACTGATGACACCAACTGTGAGTAGCTATCCATCAACTTTGTACTCAAAATTTCATATTTTCTAAATTTTCCATAAAGTTACACATTTCCACAGCTTTTAATCAGAGTATGTTCAGATTACTAATGACGAGTAGCTTTCTACACAACATGCTTTGACTATGGGGGTTAGAAAATGTGAAATTTTGTGTACAAAGTGAATTTAGAGCTACTCAAGATGTCATCAGCATTGTCAATTTGAATAGCTGAGAGTAATTTACTAGAAAATGTAAAAAAAAGAGTAGTTTCCTTACCGAGTTTGCCCATTTCTTATTTTTAATTTTGTTCAAATTTGTCTCCTTTGATTGCTCAGTGAAATTTCTAGGGTAGATTTCCCCTTTAAATCCGAGTAAAAAATTGTCCTTTTGATCGACCAAAGATTTAGTGGGCAGGTCAAGATTTCCCAGAAGCCTTGCATTGGACCTTGCATCTTACTTCAAATATAAAATCAACACAAAACACATAAACAATCTACAAAAAGCTATTTACAATAAACTGATAGAAATGAGTTGATATGAATTATTAACAGGCAAATATAAATACTCAAATTTAAGGGTCTATGAATATAGAAGACAAGGTTATAAGAGCGTTTGGCAGCACACACATTGGCCCGAATTCACAAAGCAAGGTTTGAGCTCAGACCAAGGTTTGAGCTCAAACCTCCTTTTGTTTCGCCAAACCTCCTTTTGTTCTTTACAAACCAGGTTTGTAAAAAACGCGTAAACCGCGTCATATGACGTACGAAACCAAGGTTTGAGCTCAAACCTCCTTTGTGAATTCCGGCCATCGGTTTCAG